GCCCAGCGCGTCCTGCGCTCTCTACATCCGCGATTTGGCTGGCACCGGGTTCCGAGCTTCGCCTTCATGTTTCTGTATTTTTGCGTTGTGGCCTGTCTGATCATGACCATCGTCCCGACGGTTCTTACGTTCTACACCCTCGACACTTCCGTTCGCCAAAAGGCCCGACAAATTCAGCTTTTCTCCGGCACCTATCTTGCCCTACTGGCGTTTCTCCCGATCCCTATCGTTGGTCTCGCAGGTGCGTTCCCAAAGTCTGGGAAGCCAGAGCCTTTCGGCAGCGGCTCTCTCCGGACGAAAATGGTTTTGGTCCTGGGTACCGCCGCGCTATTGACCCTGGGCGCTGGATTTCGCATCGGCGTTAACTTCACGACGCCACGACTTGCGTCAAACCCGGCGTGGTATCATCAGAAGGCATGCTACTACGTCTTCAACTACGTTCTCGAGATTATTGTCGTGTACACGTATACGTTGTCTCGTTTCGATAGACGATTTTATGTACCGAATGGAGCTAAGGGGCCAGGAGACTACGCGGCCGGCTTTGCCATGGAACACGCCGAAAGTAAAAGCACCAATAACTTCAATGAGTCTGACCTCAAAAATATCTAATCTTAACTTATAAGATTGGGATTTGAAGAAACTTATTTCAGTAGGAGTGGGAGGAATTTTCTAAGGTTCGGCAGACAACCTTTGATGACCTACATCAATGTCTTGTTGAGCCAGTTGACAATGATGAACTATATATACTCTAATGAAACTGTCCCTTGTTACTTGTGTTCGAGATACTGAATTCATAACATACGCAGAGACGGACCCAAGCGGCTCCAGATCGTGATCTTTCCATCAAAGTCGTTGCGAAGCTCCGTCACGTCCCACACAACGCCGGCCTCATCTTCAGCCTCTGGAGTATCATCGGTTAAATCTGCCGAATCCTTTTAGTTTCGAATGGACCCTCAAATCTTGTTTCGCGGCTAGATCGAAGAATGAAGAAGCATCCTCCTCGATGACGAAGGGGACTGCATGTCTCCCCGGAGGAGAAAAGGTGATATTCTTCAAATCGCGTTACGAAACCCTTCTCAAATTCGTCCGAAGGCTTCAGATCTTTTCAAACCCGTGCAAGTGAGATCGAAAATTTGCAGAAGTTCCATTCATTTGGCATACGCAATATTACTCAAGTGAATTATCATAGTTCACTGATACTAAACTACCACATGTATCGGAAGGTGATGGCCCTGTCACCTTGGGCGGACAACTCCTCTGCGGTGTATCGGCTGTCTTCGCCTGCGGCCATCTGCCTGTCACGTTTCTTGTTGATCCTGATGTATGAGAAGATGAGTACAAGGGCAGCAATGATGCCGACGGAAATGAAGCCGAGCTCAAGTCCGTGCCCAAGGATGTACCGAGGAGCATCTTTTTGGCGGTAGAAATTGGACGCCATGGCCTACCAGATGTCAGTCGAGTCAAGTCAAGCAAGAATTTCTTTGTTGTTCGGAACATCTTACACCACCCAAGTTACCAACACCGATTTGCAGAGCCATTCCAGCGCTGCGCTTGTAACTCCCAGAAAGATTGTTGGAGAGCCAACTGATGACTCCAGGGAAGGCAGGATAGATGGCGCATGCAGCCACGAAAACGCCGCCATAGACGACTTTGGGATTTGAACTTGAGATACACCTATGAAGAAACAAGTGTCAGCGCAAAATTGGTGACGTAGTTGGCAGGGCCTTACATGGAGAACCCAACGATCATCATGCATAGGAATCCGACAATGAACGGGCTTCGCTTGCCCAGGCGGTCGGAAAGATAGGCGACAACGACTGCGAGGATCGCGGCCGTGATGTAAATCGGAACTGTCATGAGCTGGGCGGTGCTTGACGTATAGTTAAGGTTTCGGATAATGGTGGGCAGGAAGAGGCTGATGCCGTACAGGGGGCAGACAATCTGTACTGTTAGCGGACGATCTTCCTTGGCCCGGATTCTCTACTTACTCCCCAATAGACGAAGATGTTGATCCAGATTTGCCAGTCCTTGAAAGCGTCCCAGACATATTTCCACTGAAACTCGTCGGCCTCAGCAACCTGGACGCGGTTGTCTGACTTTCCTTGAACCTGGCCCTGATACTTGAGGCGGTAAACAACGAATGCTCTTTCTTCCTCGGTCAAAAACGTAGCTGTTTCAGGGAAGTCGTGTAGCGCCCAGAAGGCAAACACTGCAACGATGACTGTGACTATGCCCTCGAGAATGAAGATCCATCGCCAGCCCTCCAGGCCGCCGGTGCCATCCATCTTGGAAATGGCGAACGCGAGCAGACCGCTGAAAGCACCAGCAATCGACGCAGCGGAGAAGAACATTGCTTGTCGGAGTTGGATCTCGTGGCGACAGTACCACATTGTCAAGTAGTACTTAAACCTTAGTCAGATTGCGATTTCCACGAGTTGAGCTGGCTCAAAACTTACAGCAACACCGGGAAATAGGCCAGCCTCAGTCACGCCAAGGAAGATTCGAGCGACTAGTAGCCCATGGTAGTTCCTGACAATCCCCATAAGCGTCATCACTGTGCCCCAGGCAACCATGATCGTGGGAAGCCAGATGCTCGGTCGGAGTTTCTTGAGCAATAGGTTGCTCGGGACTTCGAATGCGGCGTATGTGAAGAAAAAGACTGTGAGACACCAGTTGTACTGGTCAGATGTCATTCCAAGGTCTTCTTGCAGTCCTTCAATCTTTGCGTTGCCGATGTTCCCGCCTATGGCTGATGTCAATTAGGTCCTTGAATTCGGTGGTAATTCTGACTAACGGTCGAGGAAAGATAGGAGATATAGCAAGGCCAACATGGGAATGAGGCGGATGTCCATCTGTATCGCCTCAAAGGTTAGTCATGTGAATCGTCACGGCGCAAGTACTGTTGTAATGAAAGCGCTTGCCTTTCTCAAAATCTTCTTCTCATCCAAGTGCGCAAAAGACGCAAGAGTCGTTCCCTGTGCTGTCGCGATCGCATCGATGCGCCCAATCTCGTCCTTTCTCGTCAAATGTTCTGGTTGACCATTTTCCAGCTCCGACACGTCCAGCTTTTCGGAGTTGGTAAACATGCCAGCCATCTTTGCCAATCCAACGAAGGATGGCAGTAATTTGCAATCGACCTGTGATCCTATTCCCAGGGCTTGGTGGAAGCGATGGTCGGGGATGGGTTGACGAGGAGCTGCTGAACAAGAGATGCCAAGGACAGAAAACGGTTTGTGCAAGGGTTCGTCGTCGAACACCCCAGGCCATCATGGTTGGCTCATCTACTAGATATAAACCTTCGGATCACTGTCCGCCGGTTCGGCCCAACCCACGGGCCACCAAACAGGTTGGCCATCGTTTGCATCGTCAGCGGCTGGGGTGAGCCCCATCCGCCGCCGGCTCGGCAGATCGAAACGGCCAATAAGTTTATCGGTCTCTCAAGATGCCGGGGTGATTGTGGGTGTCAAGGCCGAGGTAGGAGGCTACCCCGCGTTTCTTGATCTTATTTGAAGTAAGCTTGGGGTGAACGCGCAGCGGAATGATGGCCGCTGCAACGTGTGACCCACGTGTTCTGGTCTGGATTAGTTGGAGATTGGTTGGAGGCTGGTCGGAAACGGCACAGATATGTTGAGGGATCGGCGGAGCGGAGAGGTTGGCGTTGATTGTGGTCGTGATGTCACTTGGAGAATGCGGGGGAGGAGCCGGTGTTCGGTCCGCACCACGACTAACATAGATCACGGGATCTAATTCCGGCTCGTCTCTGCACCGCAGAGAGGCTAAACTATCCGGCGTTACATTTGGCCTCCGATGTTTTCCTGTGAACCAAAGAAACTTCTCATATCTAGATGATATCTAACGTTTTGTCAGCAGTGAAACCGGTTCCAGACCTTAAGTCAATGTTCATAAATATCTTGGAGGTGCTTTAGGCATGTCTATTCTGCAAAGTAGAGCCATTTTATTTTTCTTGATAGATAGGAAATTGTTCACGAACCTTGAAGCATGTTCAATGATGCAGTTGCTAATTTGGCACAACGTCTGCTCAATCGACAGTACCGCTCTTATTCCCTTGTGTCTTCCTGTATTCTTCTTCCCTTGTAACTTTTCCTTTCACAGTTAACCGCCTGTGGGCACATCTTTTTGACTGCCGTAGGGTGTCTCCGTGTGTATTTCGACTGATGTATGATTATGTGCAGGTTTTCCGATGAGAGAAACACCCTGACAAGCACTATCTATGAACAGTTACTGCCTAATGTGACATAAGAGACTCTCGTCTTTGCTTGTATGTCTGATTATTCATTAGCCATAAGTTCTCTCGAGGTCCTTCAGGAGAATACTGGTCTTTTATCTGCTTACCAAGCGCATTCAGTGCCGTGAAGTATGAGACTTTTTAACTTTCAAACTGTGGTTTTCCTTGCTGGCCTCCACCTCCCGTCGGATTGCAGCAGCTTGTTCCTCGTTTGGCTCTGTTGCATCGGCTGCGAACTCAGCTTCCTTGATACGTTTATTTTGCTGAACTGCATCTTCGTTTCCGGTATTGGAAATGGAGTCGAGCATGTCGTAGAAGGCTTTGTCGTCTTGTGCCGGCATCTTGAATGAATCCGTTGAATATTGAGCATTCAAATACAGAAGTATCAAAGACAAGAGCAAATGGTCAACACTCAAAATTTTATTGAACGCAAGATTTCTTTTTGTCTAGACGGTGTATCCTCTGAGACCGAGTTGGGATAGCCCACTGACGCAATTGGCCGAGCACAACTCAGTGACTGCGGAACGACCGGATCCGACGGCTAGGGCGGGATCTGGGTTTTATACCCGCCAAGCCCCGCTGTCTCGCAATTCACAGCTCCTCATCCTACAGATCCGGCATGCCTGTTCCTCGCCTGCCACATCATTGCCTTTACTTCCGCGACACCTGAAGACTCTGGCAACTTCAACTTGGCACGTGCTTTCGGAAATCTCCTACCCCAAGCAGGCATTGCGGGGCCGAACACCCGTCGGCCATGGCGGATGACTCGGCCGAACAACCCATCTTGAAGCGGAAGCGAATCAGCGTAGCCTGCAACAGCTGCCGCGCGAAAAAGTCCAAGGTAAGCTCCAGGAAACCAAGTTAATAGCTTGAAATTTTTAACTCTTGCAAGTGCGATGGGAAGCGGCCGGTATGCGGTCGCTGCGCTGGCTATGATTACCACTGCTCATGGGGAAACGAGGCGACGCATCGCGATGCCAGTTGCACGCCACCATTAACGTCCTCCGAAGCAAGTAGTGCAGCAAGTCCGCAGGAAGTTTTTGATCGGTGCGAAAAGGCTATACGAAGTCTGGCCATCGATGTACCTCCTGAGGGCCGGGCCGAAATCAATCAAGGTCTGGCTCGAATACAGGCTGCCCTGTTCCATGATTGCTCGCCGGGGGTGACCACGATTAGCCCAACCAGCATCACGGCCAGTAGCCCTGCGCTCATTCAGCGCATTCAAAGTCCCAGATATGTTGGCGAAGTCAGCGACATTCATTTCTTCAACTTGGTTAGACAAACGGCCGCACCTCGTGGCGGTGATGGTGGTTCACAAGACGACACGGGAGAAGTTGACAACTACGACATCGATGCACCAACCGCGATGGAATATCTACAGAACCCAATTTCAGATATGCCAGAAAGGTCGCAAGTGCACAGGTTTCTGGGGATCTACTTCTCCACTATACACGTTGCGTACCCTTTCGCAGAAGAAGCACCATTCATGGATAAAGTCAAGGACCTACAAGACGGAAGCCCGGCCCCTGATTTGACCCATTCCTGGCTTTCTCTCTTATGTAAGTATCTAAAGCTTGAACGTATGCGCTTAGAAATGATGCGCTGACATCAGCAGATGCATTGCTTGCTCTTGGGGCCTACTATGACTCGTTCCGACCAGACAGTCGGCCAGATGGCTCATCTCATCAAACGCTGTTTCAACGCTCCTTACTTTTATCTCGCCATGATATGCTCGAACGCTCCTTAACGCAAGTCTCGGCTCTATTAGCTCAGTGCTTTTATCTACTAGCAACATCCGAGATCGACAGATGTTGGGCTTATCTCGGTCTCGCTGTCCGCTTAGCGCAGAGCATCGGCCTACATGCCGACATTCAGGACCATGGTTCGAGCCAACCGAACTCGGAGCGACCTCAGATTCGAAGCAGGGTCTGGTACTCCTTGTACGTCCTGGACCGGCTGACAGCCCTGCAGCTCGGAAGGCCACCTGCGATCTCGGACCATGACTGTCATGTTCAGATTCCTTCGCGGATAGACGGTCTGGATCCAGATGTGAACAACAGCGAGGTACCGGAGAGTTCCAAAGAGGGTCGCGCCGGGGAATATTTCGTCCGTCTCATCGAGTTCTCTTCCATTATCGGCCGAGTACTAAGGGAATGCTGGCGCGATATCGCAGCCAGGCTACAGAGCACCAAAGACTGTGATTTGCTGCTTCTGACATGGAAACAAAAGCTGCCAAGATATTTGAGGTTCGACCTTGGCCACGCATTCGAGAAATCGATTACTCTGAAGCGTCAGGTACGTTGCCTGGTCTGTGTTGCAATTAATATTCCGGCTAACTCGGATGAAGCGGAACATGTTGGCCATCAAATTCCACCACCTGCGGGCCCTGATTCACCGACCATATTTATTCCATACGTCTCCTGAAAATAATCTCTTGACTCAAGATCAAGCATGTCGAAGTCGAGAGTACGGAAAGATATGCGCTACTGAGGCCCAATCCATCGCCTCTTTGATGCATAATGTCACTGATACCATGGACATCGTCATGAACTATCCCTGGTGGCAGATGATATCATGTCTCGTCTGCGCGGGATCCATCATGGTCATGGCAGGTGCTCTGATCAAGCAAGACGCCGGAGACGATACCACCGTGGTCGCCTTAGAAGAAGACGTTGAGACGTGTATGGCTGTTCTGAAGGCTTTAGCCAGCAACTCCCACGGCTCAAACCTTGCGTGGGATATGATGAAGAACATTCGAGCTCGTTGCACGCGTGCTTCCGATAAATCTGCCGCTGATGACACGAATTCATTGGCGCCAAACGCAGCTGTTCAACCCGGCCAAGGGCTGAGTCAGTCTACTTGTTGCAGCGCCTCGGATACCTATACCATGCCTTTGGTGGCACCAGATAAAACTCAATCAGGCTTCTCTATGGAGCCGACCAACGGCTTGGACATGAACATGGGGTTTGGAGATAACATCATGTGGCCGATGATGATGACCGACGCGACATGGCCCGGCTCGTTCTTGGACATGCTTCATCCCTCATACGGGTCTCAAGAAAACAACTAGAAATTAGAGCATCAATCATTTGATCATTACTTCCTACACTCATCATATTGGAAACAAAGTGATGTCCATGCCCCTGAACGCCTCAATCCAATCGAATTCACCAAGCGACGTCTGATCCATTTCGTCTTTCTTTTGCCACATCGTCTGCACAACTTCCCATTGTCTCTCATAGTTAGCAATGTGGTAGCACCGGGCTCGCTGCCACCAAAGAGCCCAAGGACGGCGCGCTGTGGCGTCACAGGACGCAACAAAAGCAGGCCACATAATCGGCGCCATCCTCTGTGTAGCGCACGAAGATGTCGAGCGATCTTTGATGTCCTCAACTGCATGCATGTGCTCCGCGATCCTTGCGACTATCTCATCCTGATCCTCGCTGCGGCATTTCTGAATGCGGCGGTGGTAATAGACCACCGTAGCCAGGTGCCAGGCATTCGCGTGGTGTCTGAAAATTTCGAGTCCATCTTCGTACTGGCAGATTGCTTCATGAGCGTCATCGCGTTCCAGATTCCACGAGCATAGTCGATCTCCGAGTGCTTCGCAGGCTTCAAGCAGACTATCTGGGATCGGCTCGTGAGAGCGTTCGTACCAGGTTAGATACTCTGCTAGCCGGCAAGTCTCCTGGAGTTCGGCGGCAATTTGAGGCGTGATTCCGTACATATATCCATAACAACAGCTGGATGGATGTTGGGAGGCGGCGGGTTCATCCCCATCTTCTGCTAGGTCTATGGACCACGGTCTCGGCGACGAGGAGAATATCATGGTCCGAGCCAACAAGGAGAGAAAGTCGCTGATGTCGTTTAGCTGCTGCGTTGCTCTGCTGATCATCCTCCATTTCCGGCGCCGTTTCCTTAGTTGTTTGGTGCCTTGCAAATGTACGGCGAAATCGGCTTCACATCCAGACATAAACTGTAGGGGTCAGGTCATTTTCAAAGGCATAAAGAGGTCGATATCCTCACATCTATCGTAACTAATGACAGCATGGCCACCATCAAAGTCTTGTACTCTGCAGTCGGCATCTCGATGCTAATGGCGGATTGTAGTAGAAGTAAGGCCTGCTGTCGATGTCGCGCGCCAATCTGGTGGTACCTGACTTGAGAGGGTAGACAATTCCAAAGGTGGAAAGCTGATGATGCGAGCAGTGAGTGAAATATGACTGATTTCACTGTGGCCTTAGGTACTTGTAATCGAAGTTGTGCTGGGGAAGTGAGACTGGATGCTGCTTCTAGTGCGGCGGGGACGTATAGCTGTCGGTAAGGATTTTGAGGATGCTGAATTGGCTGAAGCATTACTGCGACGTGCTCGGCGTAATGATGCATCAGTCTATCTATGACAGCATCACCGGAGATACTGGTAGATATTACATACCGTAGGGGACTGCCCATATGATATGATACTGTGCCGTTATCGGTCGAATTTGTCCAGTTATTATGGTTGCTAGTCTCCAAAGAAGCCCCCAATGCTTCCTTAAAGATAGCTCGTAGGGACTCGTGAGCAGCGGTAGGCTCGGGGACAATATCAATAACGTCCTCTTCATCTTGTTGCCGTGGGTCCGTGTTGATGGGAGCAGAAAGACTTTCCAGTGTCAAAGCTGCCTGTGTGTCATCAAATGCTGGTTGTACTGGTGAAGTTTCGGCGTTTGGGCTGTTGTCATTTGCGAACTCTGAGGGAAAAACTCCACGACCAGTGCTGTCCAAGTTACCGCCGGCTTGCTGTTCGCGATGATTACTAGACGTCGAAAACACGGAAAATGGGCCTTTTGATATCAAGACTTCTGAGCTTGTAACACTGTCAAGAGTGTCCAGAAAGCCATCTATGTCATGCATTCGATACTGAGGACCTGTGTCTCTGCCTATTGTTCCATGAGCCGGGCAGGTCTGCATTGGGAAAGACAAAGGACTCACCAATTCGAATTCTTCCCCTCCCGTTGCTGCTACTAGTGGGCTTCTCATTCTCATTTAGTGGATCGTTTACACTGATCCACTGCAGCTTGATGCCGTATCCGCCACAAGGAGTCTTTATTTTCTCGCAATTCTTGCAGCTTGTAGGCCTCTCATCGCACTTCACCTTTCGTTTCTTACACGTCCAGCATCTACTTGAATGTGAGCAGATCTGGCGGGGAGATCCACGAGGTTTGCCGGAGACAAGTCATACCCAGTGAAGGTCATCGATCGCGTTGCACCTTTTGGCGGCATGGTCAGGCAACCCAACTGAGGGGAGTAGCGTGATAAGGATGGGTGCTTCCGTAAGCAACACACAAGTTGAGCATTCAACCGGCGGTCAAAAATCACCGAAAGTGGCTTTGGAAAACTGAAATCTTTCAATATGAGGCTGCTGAATGAGACCAACTTCAGCACGCCATCCGGATGAAGTCGGCAGAAACCTACGCAAGATAGCGATGAGTAATGTGGATAGCACTGTCGTACAGTGCTATCAATGATGCTAAGATCTGACAGCACGGTATCATTGCCGGAAATGCTCCGGGTATGGTTCCATGACACTGTGTTTTTCTAGTTACGGACTCAAAAGGCCTCATTGGCCCGAAAACCAACTCAGTCCAATTATGCGAATTTTCAGTAGAGGATCGAGAATCTCACATTGTAGACGGCGAATCATGGGACCGAAAAAGTTAGAGGGACCTATATACCGTATGATTGAGTTTCGCCCTGAATCAATCGGCGATACGACCAACTGTCCGAGCTGCTCGCACCGCTGTTCATCTGAACGTGCACGATCAGGGGGGCACGATCGTCTGCCCACGACGTCCGCCTCATCAGGTCGTCCGATCTTTTGGCACGGCTTGGCAATATAGCATGACAGACACGACCCAGCTTCTGCAACCCGGCCCAAACGACGTCTTAGGCGGTGGTCCCACTTAGTGGTGACAACGACATTGCGTGGTGCTCGAGGATGGTTGCTTCCAGGCTGTGGTGACTGAAACGCTGCATCAGACCTCAAGGCCTCCCTATGATCTGGGCACGCATTAAACCAACCTGATAATGTCAGAAAGTTGATGGCTGCGACACGCATTTTCGTGTGTTGTGTGGTTACGGGGCTGTCGCCAACTTAGATAATATGGTATTATAATTCGAAACGCTAAATAGTTGATGTAATAACCTCCTCTTCCGCTATAGGGCTGTGCCTATCCTGGCGTTTCCGTCTTGTTCCGGCCAGTGGTCATTACTTTCGACATCATGGACGTGTCCATGGTAATTATATTTTTGTCTAGAACTCTCTTGTTCCGACTTGTTGGTCGTTTCTGTGGCTCCCGACCGTGTTTTCGCCACGTATATTGGCAAGGTGTCGCTCTGCAATGCGTATGATTCCGGCGCGTGGTCGCGCGCCCATAGTTTTCGGGTCACGATCTGGTTCATGGTCTGGACGGTGGCCTGCTTCGACACGTCCCACCATCTGCGGATCAGGAATCGTGATATGATCGGTAAGTTGCACACGGCTGCGCCAACAGCTAGTTCCATGTACGACCAAAATGTTGTAGTTCCGGACCAGCCTGTTTTGATGAGAGCATTACTTGGTCAGCAAAGTGAAAAAAGAAGGGTTCATAGGGACAACAGGGTGGATTTCCCAAGAGCAAAGAGGAAAGGGTCAGGTTGTCGTACCGAATGCGTCTCCATCACCAGCTCCGTGATCACGCAACCAGGTGTAGATATAACTATCTGAAGCATGTCAGTACATTAGATCGACTACATGAATCAAGACGGCTTACCTTGGTAGAGGAAAAACGGAGTAGCCAGGACCAAGCTGAAGATGGAGGATACCACGGCCCTAGAGCAACGTAGTTTAAGTTTGAGATCAACTAATTGTAGCATGACGGAGTAGCCATGGATGTGTCGACAAGCAGACTTACAAGAAGCCGAAGCAAAAGACAACCAGGATGTAATTCCTCTTCTCCTTGTTCACTGAAATTCGCAAGTCAGCAAGTTCATTTTTGACCAGGCCAGGCCCGAGACATAGGGACATACTCGTCTGCGTGATCCTCAACAGTGGGTACATGGGCAGCAAGAACACAGTCACATCGAGGACGACCGTGACGATGCTAACGCCAAAGTTGTAAGTGACATTTGTGAAGCAGTACTCTGCTGCTGTGTCGTGGTTCGTCCATTGCGCGGTCGGATGTACCCCGCAAACGAAGACCTGTGTCCCGGTGTATGCCAGCATGAACAGGGTCACGGCTGCGATGAGGGCGTCGATGAGAATGATGTATCCCCGCCCTTGGTGGAGGAAGAGTTTCCGGAAGAGGAACAAGAACGCGAGTCGCACCACTCCGATGCCAACGCCTTGCAGGCAGTTCGAAATGTAGTTGATCTACAGCAATGAGTTAGTATCATCGGTAAGATAACCGAGCCACTCGACCACATACCTGTACGTGGATTGCGTACAGCGGGATGAATACTGGGTGGTCAGTATCTTTGGTGTCCCATGAATAATCACTCCTTGGCCAGGGTCCCTCCGGCAGAGCCCATGGATCCCAATCGTGCCGACCAGTGACACGTTTTACGGCACCTGCATGTGGAGGTCAGCATCGTGAACCTGGGGGTTTATCCGAGGTGCTCGCAAATCGTCGAGTCCGAAATGCTCGTGATCTCATCATATCCGGGCGCATACCATATAGCACAATCACTCCCGTCGCAATAGCAAACAGCTGACAGCAAATCAGTCCACGTCCAAACCGTGTGTGCCAATCAATCCCATTCGGCATTTATCCGCCGAGAACTTACGGAAGCAAGAATAGCAGAATAATCGTCGGCTTGGGGTCGTGACCGGCGCTCTCGTATCGACGCAACTCGGAGAAACAGCGTCAAGAGGTCGATGAAGGTCATTACCGGTACGATCGCGTACAGCAGTTCGAAGGTGACGAAATTAAAGAAGCCGACATTGGTGTTGTTTGTGTCCTCCGTCAGATATGCCCGCTTATTCAACCATGTCGTCGTTATCGTCGCGACCGTCATTCTCTCATCGTGGCCTTGGATCGTCGTCGACACACC